AAGCACAGAAGGAGCCTGACAGCCCTATAGGAAGCATGTCCTTCCTTTCTCTCCACTACTAATCACAGTCTCCCTGGAATAAAGCCAGTGAGGCTCACAGGTCCTCCTCATCCTCTTCTCTCTCCCCAAGCCCTTGCAGAGCAGCATGTTTAGCGTCCCCAGGCTGCAAGGCTGGATGTCTTTGTGTGTAGGGAAACAAAGGGAAAACAAAGAAGCTTCCTATGTAAATATAATTTAGCCCCAAGAATAGTGGAACTGTTTCCATTCTTTGTGTTTGTGGTGGTTTGTAATCAGCTGACATAAGTAACTGTGTGACAAGGCTAGTGAGATTGATTAACTCAGAGGAAAATGAGGCTATATGAGATACACATGGCTTTATCTAGATTGCATTTTGTTCATTTAGATACAAAATCAAAAAAGGAGCTGTTTTCCACATCATAGGAAGCAGCACCATAGAAATGCTCTCCATGATTTTTATAATGACATAACTAGACTTTTATCACAAAAATCAGATTAGTGTAGATAACCTATTAGGATCAGGGAATTAATTTGAGGCAAAAAACCTACACTTTGGCTTTCAGCAGTTGAGCCACAAAGAAAGAAAAGTAGAAAGAAAATAAGAAATTAAATTAAGCATATGTCTGCATATTTAGACTTTAAAAGGCACAGTTTTTACTGGCATGCTTCCTGTTGCAATTCCAAATTTTAGATCATGTAACAGTTTCATAGGTGTCAAAGCTGAGGTCAATGAAGCTCTACTGGTGTTTATCTACCAAACAGGTCAAGATGACCACAAATGAAGAACCACACAAATTATTAAAATGGAAGTTAGACTCTGAACCTTCAAGGTCAGGGGTTTTGGTTTGTTTGCTGTGTCCTGCTCTCCCAAACCTAAAAAGGCCAGCATTCAGCTACTTGACTTCAATTAACAGATCGATTTTCCAAAATACAACAAGAAGTTCCCTCACAAGAGCAAAAATCTTCCAACTTGTTTTGGAACTAGCTTTTGCATTTTGGTTTGTCTATTTCCCTTTATATAAGGAACATTAGTTTTGTTTTTCTTCAAGTCACATTATTATGTAGAAATGGAAAGCTGGAAAACTTGTTAATCTTCTTTCCTTCCTTCTCTTTGCTTCATATTGGCATAACCTTTTCTGGCAGTAGTGGGAATGCCAACGTTTTTTGTTTCTAATAAAAGAAAGAACCTTTTTCAGATTGTACACCAGCTGCTAAGCATTTCTACAAAGTTTCATTTGAGAATTAATGTGCTTTCTTAAACATTTTCTGCAGCTTTTTTATTTTTGCATGAGAGTTCTTTTAACACAACAAAATGACAGTTGCAAAGAGTCACTTGGAAGATCTCTACAAACTCTGCAAAGTCTTCTCCAATTTCCCATTGGGCTAGAACTCCTCTTGTGGTGAGGAGTAAAAACACTCCTGTCAGTGAAACTCAGCAATTTTGCATGCAGACTGAAACATTAACTACAAGAAACAGAATTATTATACCAAAAAAACCCAACCAAACTCTACCTCTCAAAATGTGTCCCTATTGATGGCTTAAAGACACAAGTCCCACACAAGTTAACCAGCTTGAAAAACAGGTCTTGGCAGATGGCTGATTTAGGAATGCACAGGCAAACATCAGGTGTCAGAAGTCAGCTGGAAAGAGATACCTAGGTAGAGCTAAAATATTGATTTAATTTACGTCTTCTTTATGGCCTTTATTTCCATTTGTGCAACTGTAAAGCCAGTGTTTCATTTTCTGTTTTCTCTTTTTGGAGAAAGAGAACCACTGATATTATAAGCCAGTGAGCGATTAAATTTCCTTTCAACTCAATTACTTTATTTGTTCCTTTTTTTGCCCCTTTTAATCCTTCCCTCCTTCCTTAACATTTAATATTCTATTAATACAAAATTTCAAAGACAGTGATGTTTACCCTCACCAACTCTTTCTTCTGCTCTTATCATTTAGAAAATAGTGGTGTTAAAAATAAGTAGCACCCATCAGCACATGAGAAAACGACACCAGCTGGCAACAGCCAGTTCTCAAACAGCTCTGAAATGGCTGTTAAGATTCTTCATTGCCAGCTACATATTCCAAATAAATGCAGATATTCCCAACCTCAAAATCACTATGAACTCTATCAGCTGGCTACAGAGACACAGCACTTCAAAGACTGGAGTTGGAGGAGGAAGAGCAAGCACTAAAAAAAGTAATGATACAAACAGCAGAGAGGCACTACAAAAATTTCCCTTCAAGGATCCTAGTTGAGTGTGTTTCAAAATACTTAGGCTGAAAGCCTGTGACATGTTCATGAGCTCTCAGATCACAGTTCCAATGGTATAAATAACATCCAAATCCAACTGGATTTATTTAATCAGCATTTTTGATTGAAAAAAATATGTTGCCATTGTGAGGAGACCATACTTTCAAGTATTTTACAACTGAATTATTACATAGTGACAATTTAACAAAAGAATTGTGGATTACACATTAAGTAGTTTTCCCTTCTCTCTCAGAAATTATCAGAATTTGTAGTAGAGAAACTGCATCAATAATCAGACAGTGAATGGACAAAATTACCTCCCTATCTCTGAGTGAACTTACTGTCTTCCTACAAAAAATGACCACAGCAGGAAAACCTCAGATCTGTGCAACCACAACCACCAGATTTGGACACTTCAAACTAGAGTGATTATTGCTTTCTTTTCCAATGCAAAACAGGAATTATGAGAATATTTACCAACAGGATGTACCAGAATCCATGTAAATATTGGTGGTAAAAATAAATCTATATAGGAGGACACCCTTTTTTTGCTCATTAGTGGGACAATTGCACAGTCAGAGTAATAACGGAACAGGACTGTTCTCAATAAAATATTAGTATCTTTTCTGAAAAGTCCATTCACAGTTGAAATAAAATGCAGTGCAGAAAGGAGCTGAAAAATACTCCTCACATAGAATACTTCTCTTTCATCCATGTCAATTGTTAACTAATTTTGATTTTTAAACATTTCAATAACTTTTCAAACAGAAAAAAATATGGAACAGGATGTAATTTGCATGTAGAGGATGAGTGAAGTATGTCATGTTCTTCAGCCAGTCCCCAACACAGCTTCACAACAATGACAGTTTGCAAGTATAGATAATTACAGATGTAAATTTGTGCCAGCAATGATGCATATGCATCATTTGTGGCATTTGGGTGTCACATACTTCCTGTCTAAATGACATAAATTGTGTTCAAAATAGTTACAGGTGCCAAATGATGAAAATGACAAGCAGAAAAAGGAATAGCAACTGATAGCTGAGCTCCTGTCTGGGAAGGAGTGGCACTTGCTGGCAGGAACACCTAATTTCTAAAAATTTGTTCTGTGTAACATGGAAATTAGATAACAAGTAAAAATACTTGGGTGTTAGGTAAACTTAATCAACTCAAGTGTCTAAATATTTATATCCAAATATTCAATTTGGTGCACACATGAGATCATCTTCAAAGACAATGCATTTCAGAGTGACCTGGATGTGCAGAGCCCCACACTGTTCCCTTGGATTCAATGGCATTCTTTTGCAGACATTCATAGCAATATCTAGATTGATTTTTTTAAAGAGAGTATTTGTATAAAAAGGAAGAGAGCAGAGAGAGACAGAGCACCTACTCTGACCCCTGGCTGGGAATGGCAAAGCCAGATGACCAAGTTTCATTACTATTCCTTAGCAGTAGAGTATCCAGCTGCTCTTTGTGCCTCAAAATGTAAGCAGAAGGAAGGGAACATTACTTTTACCAAGATCATAGGTACTTATTTTAGCAAATAAATATCTGAAGATAATCCTGGAAAAATAAAATTACCTTGAAATTTCATCAACACAAGCTTAACAAATTAGTCTGCCTTTTACAGACTAATTTACGTGTTCACATCATAAGTAACTGTTGTCATCGTATTGCGGCACCTCCATACTCTTGTCTCCTTATCACAAAAGTTCCATACCTTCTTGGTGCTCCTCATGGTCAGCTCGTCAGAGCACTGACTCTTTCTTCTTCACAAAGCAGCCAGCTGACTCCAGTTCCCCCCTCACCCAGCCACCTCACTCTTTATAGCATCTTCTTCTCATTGCTTACAGCTGTGCCTGTTGAAGTCAGGCCTGTTCCTAATCTTTGATAATTGGCCCAGCTGCAACTCCTTAGGGGTAAGATTACTTTCTACACTATTTTTTTTTTCTTATATTCTATCCTCTTACAAGTAACACTATTAAAAAGCATTTATGAAAAACTATAGTAGAGCCAATCATGTGATGCTTCTGTTTGCTTTCTTTTCAGCAGTTTCAATTGAGTTTCTAATGAAGCGTCATTCCCTTCTATCAGTAGATCAGGAATTTACTACTTGTTGTGTTTCCCCCTTGCCCCTCACCCCATAAAACATGGTAGTGATAAAAAAAGAAATTAGCACCACTGATCTATTACACACAAAGCACAGCTTTGCTCTATTACACTGATTATCTAAATATAATTTTTAAAACCTATGATTTTTTTCTAGTGGCCTCAAAATACATCATTCTGCACTTTTTGATAGTATAGAGAAATGTTAGCTTGCTACAAGTGAAAAGATCTGGCATTTTCACTCAGCTACGCAAATGTTACCTGAACAACCAGAAGCATGAGGTCTGAAAAAAGTAACACATTATGAATACTATGTTGCAATATGTCCATAAATAATATACCGTAACATGAGTTACTATGGAAACTATTTGGCTGTGAGATCATTGGGTTGGGACTTTTTTTCTACTATGTAAGAAAAAAATATTCACATATTCGTGGCATTAACAGGTAGGTTTGATTCCAAGCAGGTTACTATTTTAGGTATTGTTCCCTTCTCAAAAATAACTCTAGGAGAAAGCATTTTTGACTCAGCAGCTTTTCTTAGGTCACTTACTCTACAGTGTTTAAGCAAACAAGTAACATTTAAAAAAAGGAAAGAAAAAAAAAAGGCAGATCCTTTACCTGGAAAATGCTCAAGTTGGGCAAGTTTTGTTGAATAAAACATTTCTTCAGGAACATGTCTTGTTTCCATCCATGGTACATTCTTTCAAATTCTGTAAAATCATTACATGTGTGCAAGAATGAAATGCAAGGGGGTTCCTAATATGGTGGCTGAAGAGGTGGTGCACAAATGTTCAAACAGCAACCTGCAAGTAGGCAAAACACAAACAGCATCATGTCACCTATTGCTTTAGCTACAGAAAAAAGCAAAAAAAAAAGTCTATTTTGTTTTAGTTTAATAAAAGAAAATGCAGCAGTAAATGTTAAAAAAATGAATAACCTAAATTTTCTCATTATGCAATTATGGCTTTGTAATGGGCCATATAATTGAAATTTATTTTTAAAGATCAGACATAGGAAGGAAGAGAATCCACAAAAAAGATTTTTAAGAATCATTACTATTCAAAAATTGCATTTTCAAGGTAATATTCAACTGTATTTGAAAACCTCTCTTGGACAGAACAGTAATTCAGTGAGGTTTTGGTAACATAGTGCCACAAAAACATTTCTGAAACTACTTGCAGAGGGCAAAAATCACAGAATATTTTAAGGAAAGCAATAAAGAATTTGGTCAAAGTTAACAAACAGTGCCTGGTCTATATTTGAATTCATTTGCATATAACAGGTACACACATATATATGTATGTGTGTACACATAAAATAAAATTGGATTGAAGACAGACAAATAACCCATATCACTCAGCAAATATTTTCTGACATTACTCTTAGACCATTTTATAAAAATCACTTTTCTTTTTTTTCATACATAAAATCCCCTAACATTAAAATTAACTCTTGTGAATACCTTTACCTTCACTTGCATGTTTTAAGCTGAGTAAACAAAAATATAAGTGACTGAACAAAAAATATTGTTATTAAAGTAGTATGGTTGGTTTAGAGCTCCTGTGTGAATTTAGTCCTTGTGATTTACCTTTCTGTAAAATAAAGCAAATAGTTAGGCAGGGACTAGCTTTGTGCAAGGTCCACTGGTGATTTTTGCAGGGATAAATTTTGGAAGGGTTTCTTTGGTTGGTTGATCAGTTTTTGGTAGCACATTTTTTTACAGCTGTGTTTCTCACTCCTCCCTAACAGCCCAGGAATACACAGGCCCAAAAGCCACAATCATTTAGTGCACTTCAGACATATTTTTCAAGGCAAAATTGACCAGGGCTTTTGTAATTATTTTGAAAACAATAATTTTGTAATTATTTTGAAAACAATAATTCACAACTCCACATTCTACAGCCTTGCTGGTTTAGGGCGTGACTGGGGTGTCCAACTACCCCTCAGCACAAGGCAGGAATTGGTACACACAAGATTTAATATATTTCTGCACTGGATATTGATCAGTGAAACAGTCTGTATCCTGCCTTGTGCAGAATATACAACCCTTTCTTTCACATTTTAATTGATCATGGATATGCACAATGGAAGGCAACTATCCCTAAGATTTTTTTTTAGGAGAAATATCAGAGAGTGTGATGCCTCATTTGCTGGATAATAAATGTTCCATCATGGTAATAACTGCAGGGAAGGGTATGTTTCTGAAACAGCTTTTCTAGCTGGAGAAATGGATTAGAGAGATTACCATTTCATCAAAGTGGCAGAACAGTTGAGAGGAAATATGGAAGGAAATTTTTGTATAATTTCTGTAGAGTTGCTATTTGTCAAACCCCACTGGCATCAATCATGATATATCTTTTCTCCTGATGCAATCACATCAAAAAAAGTTTCTCTTTAATATGCATGTGTTGGAGTAAAAGAAGAGACAAATAGTTCAAATTTCTTTGAATTGTACTATCTAGATAAGAAATGCACAGTTGATACTATAATTTTTATTTCAGTGTATAAGTCTTTCCCAGCATTAAAGAAATCCCTTTAATTTGATTGTATTTGCTATAGCAGATTTTTAAACTAAGTGTACCATGATTTCCAGCAAGGTACTCAGTCTTGTGTATAAAAAAGGAGTGCATTGATTCTCAGACATGAAATTCACATATAGAAAACTTGAGACGTCTGACATTCTTAAAGAATAATGGTGATTAACATGCCTGGACTGCATTCAGTCAAGAACCATGTTAATGGATTTTGGAGAAGGCATTCCTATCGACCCATGCAACACTGTAGTGAAGTCATTAAAGAACAAGAAATAACCAATAAAAGGCTTTGCTTCGTGTAAAAAAAGTAGTTGCTGAATTAGAATAGGGGAGCTTAGAAGTCAGATCATACAGTTTTTTTCAGAAGTGTCTTTTTTATTATATTCTGTTTTCCTTATCTCCCCTCACCCCAAGTTTCAAACAGAACACATTTTCTTTACAAAATCATATCCAAAAAATATAACTAGTTGTAGTTTGATTTCCATATGTTGTTCGAGTGATATTTGAGAGGCATCCAGAAGCTTAAACTGGTGGAAATGCTGCCTAGTGCCAGAGGAGCTGTGTCTGCTAGAGCATAAAATGTCTGTGGTTGGGATATAACATAAGTGTAGTGAAGATTAGTGTTTCAGAGGAGAATACTGAAAAGAAAAAGGAAAATACAGAAAATCAAACAGCTTATCACTCAAAGTTTTGAAAGTCAGCATATGTATCAGCTTATCTGAATAATCACAGCTCTCATGCATTTTAGATTAGCCATGCAGAAAGCTACATGCATGCTCCTGAAAAGTAGAGATCAGAACAAAAACTGCAGTTCCTTTGAAATTTTCCTAATAATACAAAAGATGTTAAAAATTATAGCACAGAGGCATAATCACTTTTAAATGGTGTTTGTCAGAATTTTTATGAGGTGTCCTAGGCTTTTAGCTCCTTGTTAAAAGGCTATAGCATGTTTGTATTTTGTTTAGCTATTTGCATAATGCAAAAATATTACCTAGCAATTAATGTATGTAGATTGCATCCCAGTGACACCTCCTTGCAGTGAATTCTGTGTTTCCCTGCAGATGTGTTTGTTATTGTGTCCATAATTAAGCAGTTTTTCTTACACACACCCTGGTATCTAGATGTCTCTGTAGACAGTGTTCAGACCTCTGCTTACACAGCACGCTCCATACTGTGCAGCTGCAGTTTTCCAATTATCTCCATGACTTGAAACACAAACCTGGAAAAACAGAACCCAAAGTGACCAGGACAGTGTGTTATTCCTGGGTAACACTGTGGGACACTCACTTTGCCACATGCTCAGCAGGATTCCAGTGCAGGGGTCACAAGCCATGCAATATTATCATGCTGTACACATTTAAGGTCAGGGACTAAGCCTGATAGATGAACAGAACTCAGCCCCATCTTCAATCCATGCATCACCTGCAATGCCAGCTCTGCAGCAGGTACAAAATAGAGCTAGACTGGAATGTGATCTGGTTTTGCCTGCTGATAAAGTAAATCGTAGGTTTGATCTGGTAAAATTAATATTTACACAAGCTTAGAGGGTTAACAAAATTCATACCACTATACCTGTTCTCCCCTCAGCATTAGCTGAGGATGACAGAGATCAAATCCCACAGACTTTTAGGTCTCCTCTGTTCCATATGTACATGCCTTCTCACAAAGCACTCAGAGTAAGCTCATCAAAGGACATTAATTGTTCCTTCCCCAAAAATGGGAAGTTTCACTGGGGTACACTTTTGGATAGTTTTACAATACTGCACAACTCAAAAAATTGCACAGATTTGCACTCAATTAGTCCCTTTGATCTATGAGAGAAGTAAAAAAAACAGGAGCTTTTACACATTTTTAGAAAATTCAGCCTCAGTTCCTTGGTTCAATGGTCTTTTTGGTGCCTAGGGATCTCAGTCTGCATGAGGGAAATTAATTCCTGCTTATGGACAGTAAGGGAAGACTGGTGTGAAATCTTTTGTAATGTATCAGTGTTTTAGACTCTATTCTACACCAGGAGTAATGCACCTAGATAATTCAAGATTTTGGGGACCTTTTTGGTCAAATTGTCTGAAGTTTTTAAACTAAACATCTCAGAAGTTAATATATTAAATAAATTTTTAAAATTATTAGCTGACCATAATGTATCATTCAAGATCTTCATGTTCTGAGGAGGAATATTTTTACACAGCTGTGGCAACAGTCACTAGGTTTTGAGATCTTTTTAAAAGGAAGACCACCCTAAAAAAAAAAATTGAAATATATTAGAATAAAGTAGGTTAAAAATCAAGGGCTTTAAATTGTTTTGAAACTATAATCCTTCATAGCTTTTGAAAAGTATGTTTCATTATTTAATTTTCATAACTTGCCAGCTTTACACATTTACTATCGTTCATTGATTCTTCTGATGCCATAGACAGACAAAAAATTGTCTAGAAAAAGCAACAGTTTTAATAAACAAGTGCTGGTTTTAACTGGCACTACAGTTCAGTTGGAGAAACACATCTCCATCAACCAGCTGCTTGCTCTAGCAAGAGAAGTTTCACATGCAGGAAATGCACCGTGCCAGATGTGTACAAAGAGTTTCTCCATTTGTATAGCTTTTGGCAAGATAGATTTTCCTGGCTTCTCTGGGGATTTTCCTCCTCTACTGTATCCAAAAAACTCACACTGATTGCAGGCCATATTGAAGGACCTCATGTTTCTGTGCTGATTGAGCATCTGCAGACCATCAGTAGTTCAAAAGTCTGCAACATGTGCAGCACTATTGCAACACTGTTTTATCAGATTATCTGAAGATGAGCTGTCCATAATTTGTGGCACACACCAGCACTCAAAGCCCATGCAATCCACAATCACAGTTATGGCCCAAGATATTTCTCCAGGCAAAAGAAAAACTCCATTGGGAAAGAGGTGATGCTAAAACTGCCAGGCTGTCCCTGGGCCCTGTCCGCTGTACTCAAGAGCTGCGTCCCTGGAGAGCAGCATATCCACAACTGAACTACCAGGGTGGATTCAAACATCTCATTTTCCATTTTGGATCTCATTTTCCAGCATGGCACCTATGAAAAATGATTGCAGTGCAGGAAAAAAAAAAACATTTACTGCTGCTACATATCATTACTCTATCACTGGTCCACTGAGGCATGCAAACATTTTTGAATTCTTTTCCAAGACAACAAAATTGCAATAAATATAACACTGCCAACAGCCTGCATGCTAGAAACAGGAAAAAGAGCAAAGCTTGAAATTCACAATGCATCCCCTGGAAAAGA